TTTTAATAGCAAAAGGCAGAACTAGGACTAGACTGAATTAATCTTACAAAGCCACTTACAAAGCAAACCGCTACCTATGCCCTCGTGGGATCCTCTCCTAGGAATGTCCACCAGGCCACATTGCTGGCTCGTCCTTTGCTTTTCAGCCAGTGTACAGGCTGCAGCAGACCCAACCGAAGCTACTCCTAATGAAGACTACTCCTCCCTACCACACCCTCTGCCCCTCAATTACCTTGACTCTGAAAACTCCCCTAGCCCACCTCTGAATTCTTCATCCTTTCCAATGTCCTCCCACATCAACCCATGTTTCTCCCAACATCCCACCCCTCTTCTCCCTCAGATTCCTCCAGCATGAACTGTTACAGACGTATGAGCCCTCCCACCCGGAGTCTTTTTTCTCTAAAATGAAGGGTCTTACTTGCTCCTTCAGCCTTGCTCGTGGGCACTGCTGTTACTGCTACTTCCCTCTACCCCTTGCATGTCAGGTAGCTAAAAAAAGCCATCAAAACCCAACCAAAACTAAACACACACACACACACACACACACACAAGAAATATCCCAGTGGAACATTTAAAATCAGAAGCCTAAGACATACCTAGGACAAAAGAGTACAGCCCTGCAGAAGTTTGTTTGCTGTTTGCCCTGACTCACCTTTTATTTTTCTCCATTATAAATAGCTTGTTATCTGCATTTATTGCCATGCTCTTAGATGAGATCAAATTAAAATCCTTTTAAGACAGTTTTCTGTTCTTTTGTTTCTAGAAATGAAACAAAGATTTGTTTTCTATAGGAGGGGCAAATACCTAATGCAGAACAAGTTCTTTTGATCGCCGGCAAATTGCTGATAGCAAGATAGTTTTCTTTTAAAAAGCTGCATACATTCAGCTTCTTGCCTGTTTTTTTTCTTTAAAAAACAAAACAGTTCATCAATGATAATGTGTATCCAGAAGGCAGCATCTAAAGGTTCATCCTCCACACTGCAATGGGGCATTCTCTGTGCCTACCTGCTTCCCAATGCTTTTTGGAGAAAACAACAATCAGCTCCATGGGCAAATCTCTTAACTTATGCTTACATTGGTTCGGGAAGCAGCTCTTGCACACAGGAGCATAAACCCCCCACCCCCTAGCCCACCCCATATTCCAGCCCTTTGGATTCATCTTTTTCTGCCAGCAAGTGGCTCAGAGAAAGCCTATTACGTATCTTATGGCCAACAGCCACATCATGGGACTCCAGCCCTCTGCAGGGGGAAAAAACATCCAGAGTAATTCACTGTAAAGTGGGGGTGACTAAAACCCTTTAGAGCACTACTTCTTCCCACGGGTACATAGAGATGGTATTCTAGTTTAGCAAGAGTAAGAACAGGAGAAAACGGTGTAGCTGAGAAAGACCTGAATCACAGCAGTAGACTCTCTCTTACGCCAACCGTCTGGCTCCTCACTTGTCACATCAGTGTAAGACCTGGCAGATACATTGTGAAAATTAACTGAGAACATTCAGAAATGAAACAAACCAGATGAACCAGACATGCTCAAGTCATGCAGCATAACAAAGAAAAAACCCCAAATCCTAGAACTGTGTTTCTTCATCTGGAGATCAAAACATGTAGTCTAAATTGCCAAGTATTTTCCAACAATCTAACTTTTCACAACTTAGTAGTTTAATAATAAATGACTAAGCATTATAAGGTTTTTGTTTAAAAAGTGTTTTCACTTTAATGGGTTTAGTTAATAACATCATGAATGGTACAAAACTGTCCTTTTTCACATTTCCATACATTGTATTACGGACCACCTGAAAATCTGGACTAAGAATGCATAAAGTGTCTCTTAATTAGCCCTAGCTTCATTTTTGCCGTATGTAGAGGAGATATGCAGAAAAACATGCATCTGTTACCAATGACCTGTCAGTATTAGCTTAAACAACACGGTATGGCAGAAGGCGCGCTGTGTAACGCACAGGTATGCGAGAGAGACCAGATGTGAAGTGTTGGCAACGAACGAAGAAATGGTTGATGACACACTGACATTTTGTGACCATAGTATTAGCTTTTCTGTTTTAAAATTGCTTTAAATAGTACTAAATATTTAAATAATATTTAAAATATATTTCCCTATGGAAATCATTTACTTGGAAGACAGCCTGCAAGATCTGGCTTTTTAAAAAGTAGTATTTCATTTTGACAAAATACGAATACAATACATGCCATAGAACGTCGAAGACCCGAAAGTCCCCAGCCATTTTCAGAAACAGTTTCTCAATCCAATTTTGTCTCCGATTTTTTGCTAGGAAAACTTTGGAAGTAGCATCTCAAAGTAAGCCTGCCTTTAAGAGAAATAATGTATTTCAATAAAAACAAACCCAACGTAAACAGGGATGCCATGCTAAAAGAAGAAAAAGCGGCATTAAAACCCAAGTAATTCATCCTGCAATTAGTTTAATTTCTGTTTTACTAATTCAGTCTAAGGAGGGTTTTGTTCCTTCCTAATGCATTTCTCTTGCAGTCAAATGAGTACTCAATTTCCACTGTCAGATGTTAAGGGGTGAAGACCTCACTGTTCCGTAAAAAAACCAAAGGATTGAGCTGTGAGTGAAGAATTAATAACCTAAAATGCAACAAAACAAAGTGTTTGTGTAAAAAAGTAATTCAGACATTGACTGTTTTCTAAGTTTGCTTCAGTATAAAAAAACCTCTTCAATCCCACTAACAAAGCTTTCTTTTGATTCACGATCCTTCAACACACTTGAGAGTTCCGTGGTTTTTCTTATTCTAATTTGGTAAATTAATAACCCAGCCACCATTTTTGCAGCCCACGACAAAGATGGAAGCTCCACTGTATTAATCTTTAATAGCCTACGGTAGTTAGTTTTATTAAAGACAGGTTTTTCCTGTCTTCTACAGGCACAGTGCTTGTTTAACTGGCCTCAGGAACAAAACAGCCAAAAATAAGCCAGGTCACCTCCTGTGGCAGTGCAGAGCATCCTGGCAGGCTTTTTCTTTTGTTTGGGTTTTCTTAAATTGTTGTTGCTAAAATTTCTTTCTTCTTGAATAGGGACAAGCTATTCCAAAGGCCTCTCATTTCTTTCTTCAGCTTCTAAGGACTTGGATTGAACAAGTAGCTTCCTAAAGCTGCTTCTAGATTCAAATTCTAGCGTTAAATATCCAGTAGCAGAAAATAAATCATTTAGAAAGCACAGAGACCTCTCTCACTTAGTTGCTTTGTAGTCACATTAGGCAGGGATATGTAAGACACAAAGTCTGACGAGTTCCTTTCCATCAAGGATCCATCCTGACTGTTCCCTCAGTCTGCATCCTAATCACTTTTACAACAGCATGTCAGGAATTCCCAAACTGTGCTGTCCATATATATCACCATAATGTGACCTGGGTAAGTAAGTCTCTCTCATGAATCTACACACACTGCCAACCACCCCCACCAGTAATGGAAGACACTCAGTAAATTTGGGAACCTTCACTATCAATTAAAGAGTATACCAGGCACGTTTCTACTGTATCTGCAGCGTGCATATGTACATTAAATCAATTTTAGCTGATTCCTATCAATGTTGGTAACTTTGCTGTCTGGTTTCACCATATAAACTCTAGCTCCTACCAGAGCCAACACGGTACAACCAAAACAGCAACTCTTCAACCCTGTGGCTACCCTTCTTTTCACCACAAAAATGAATTAGCTTCATGATTGCTCCAACAACTTGCACATTCTTCCTAAACCCAAACCCATCTCGCTCTCCTTGATCACAGGCGACGTAGCAGTAGCACAATGCATCTAGTAATGTGATAGTGACTTCCCTTTTTAAAGCAAAAGCACTACAAAGAGGCTTTAAAAAGGGCAAGGGCACATACCCATTTCTGTTCACTGTAGTCTGCATACAAATTGTAAAGGAGAATTATTGCTTTTAAAAGATGAAAAGCTTTGGAAATACGGTAAACATCCTACAACGTTCTAAAACTAATCAGCTAAAATGCTGTACATACTTTAATATTCAAACCTCTATTTGATTACTCAAGATGAAATAATTTCATTTTCACATCTATTCATTAAACTCTCTATAGTTCTAAGGTCTAATGAATATTTAACAACTAAATAGGATCAAAACAGATAATGGGGAAAAAAGGTCACGTGGCAATGAACATTATTTCATTTGGCCAATGAATAGTGAACCCTGCTTTCTTGGCTGAAATTAAGGCACTAAGTGGCAGCAAAAGGATAAAGGAATGGTTTTTTTCTTTCTACATTATCTGAAAAGAAGACCAACATGACTTTTTTTAGGACGCCAGCAGAGTACATATCCATTCTGAAGGACTCAGTAAGGCATTCCGTTGGCAAATTTAAAGAAAATGTTCTCCTGACCAGAGCCCATTACATTCATTGTCTGAGTGTGACTAGTGGCACTACTAACTGTTAACAAACTGGAGGGGGGAGAAAAAGCTACAAAGATGTCTGAAGACTTGAAAGGCACCAAAAAGAGAACAGCTCTGCAACTGCCAGTTCTACAAACAAGAATGTAAGCTGTGTTTAACACTGCATATAGTCTAGTCAATCATCAATCTTTGTTGACAAAGATAAAGTGTAGTAGCTCTTCATTTAAACTCTCAGTTTATCAAGTGCTAGTTCAGTAAGAAATTTATTTTCACGTATCAGAAATAACTGCAGTGTCTAACACAACTACACTTAAAGCAAAACTAGTCTAGTATGCATTATTCTGGTTAACACTGAAGCAAACCTGTATAAACAAAAGGGTTACCTTGAGATATATAGTTTACAATATGAAATCAACATATAAATGAATAGGATTTACTGAAAACAATGGAAAGTGTATTACAAAGATACATGTAACAATTTTAACCACAATATTTCCTCTGTGAAAAATACAACTATTAGTGAGATAAAATGTACAATTGAGATTTTTTTTTTTCCAAAAGAAAAAAAAAACCCAACACAGTATAAAGGAAAATATTCTTTTTCTTCAAAACAGGGAAAATAGTTAAGGTCATTGTCTTTCATTACAATATAATTTGACACAAAAAGCAGTCATAGGATTGCACCAACTCCATGTTCAGTCTCCTGAACATGACAATAGTAAAAGGAGTCCATAAAGCATAATGACATTTCTGGGTTTCATGATGGTGATGTACGTAATTGCAGAAGCTGATGTCATTCCGGCTCTGTTCACAAAATGTACAAAACTCTAAATTTGGTGGCCAGACATGTAAAAATTAGTTCATCCCAACGCTGATTTTTCTGTCGCTTAGTCAGGGATGGCAAAATCTGTAGTATTCTAAGAGTTGTTATCTTTTTAGCAATTAAAAAAAAAATATATGTAGTGCATGCTTTATCACTTGTCAAAACCATTTCTGAAAATAAAACTAAGTTATCCAATAGTTTACAAAATAGAAAATAATTCTTCAGGTTAAAAATGTGGTTAGGTTTATGTTTAGTTCCATCTCCAAAGGACTGACTTCCTTGGCAGCATCACTTTTCCTTAGCAAGAGCCAAGGCACAATGTTCCATAAAGAGAAATAAAAACGGCTACGAGCAAGAACGCAGTCTGGCATTGCAAAAGAAATCAGAGCCTCTCTCTGAGCTTTCTGTTCCAACGGGTTAGTGCCGTAGAAAAATGTGAGATTTGGGATACATTTTTGTTAGGAGCATTTCTGCTGGACACGGTTCAGAAGTTCACCAAACTTTTCAAAAAGATCCTCCACCCATTTTATATTTTTCATGCAGAGCTGCACAATCTCTTCCTGTCCTAGGTCTGCACTCTTCTTCTGCACAGAAGAAATCTGTTTAAAAATGAGAAGGAAGGGAAGAGAGAGATGCACACACAGACATGTTAGGCTGCCAGCACTTCAGAATTTTCATTTTTATAATGTTCTGCAGTTAAATACAAACCTTCTCTGGAAGAAAACCTTTAAAGCTTTAAAAACGTGGGGAAATGCCCCCCAAAAAGCATTTCTTAACAACTGAGCCAGAGCTCAATTCTCGTATTTCTGCTACCTGGAATATTTCCACCAAGGATTTTCAGAAAAAATAAAGGAGCGGGCATTCTGAGACAAAAAGTGGCTTCTAAATCTGAGGAGTTACACACACTGATAAAATTCGTTTTCTTTCATTCGGATAACAGTGAAGAATGCTTACCTATCCCCAATACCTATCCCCAAGAGAAACTGATTTCACACGAACCTTGTAAACCTCATCTCCGAATGCTCTGGGCAGCAGTGCCCATTAGGGGCAAGAGATGTGCTCAACATACCCTTTCCTTTGCCAGAAAGAATTAATTAAAATAGGAGGCAAGAATCCGTACTCATTTATAAGAAGACAACGGCCCCTCTAGTTGGACCCAATTCCCTCAAATTCCCTCAATAAACATGAAAGTATCTCAAAGAGGACAAGACTTACCTCTTCTTTACATGTTAGATATATGTGATATTTGTAATGATGGAGTGAGTGATACAAAGAATACAACTGTATTTTTTCTGGATCTACAGTAAACTCCTGCAAAAAGAACAGTTATTTTAGGTAAATCCACGTTATTTTCCAAGACACATATATGATGGACATCTTCCTTCTGTAAAGAATCCTTCCCTCCCTTGTATAAATATACAGGATAAGAGCATTTATGTCTAAACATAGACATTAAATAGGAGAATAATTATGAAATAACATATTATTCCTGGAATATAATTACATTTCACAGATGAGTTAAAACTGTGATTTAATATACTGTTTAAATGTTTTTAACATTCCCTTATTATAGAAAAAGCACCTCACTTGGAGATTTTGTATTTTGATAGATCTACTGAAAAAACCCAGGTCACGAAGCAGTACTTTATATGTAAATGTGGTTATCATTAGAAGTCAGATGGTGGCAGCAATAAACCCTCTGAACACTTACCGGTGCTAACTTAGTGGCTGATTTGGAAGCCCTCAGTGTTTTCTTGTTGTAAGCTTTACCATTCATTTTGATCTTAGACACAGATGTTCCTCCAGTTTTTGTCTTAGAATCCCGAGTGATCACTGTCAGTTCAGGAAAGTTTTCCAAAGCGTTCTTTAAACAGAGCATACAAAGAAAAAGGATTTTGAAAACCTCAAGAATGGCCAAGCCACCCAGAACGCTGATAAACTGGCTATTTTTCTTTGAAAAGTTTGACTGTAGCCTACGATGAATCAATTTATTCTTCCACAACAACCCTATAGAAGGTCTTTATCAGCTCAAGCAACTCTACACACTTTGAAAAGCAGGACTACCTGTTCTTAACTGCTGTAATTTTTCAAGACTAAGAAAATCCTTTTATTGTATGTCAAATTATCATGTGATTCCTTCATTAGAAAGAGCAAACCAAAAAGGCTGCACTAGGTATTTTTCATCTTTTAAAACGCTTTCTGTTCCATTTCTACCCAAGAATCTCTAATGCCAAGTTACCTGGAGATAAGTACTTAATGCCTAGTCAGGCACAGGAAGCCTGCCAATTGTATCAGGGACTGCATGCCTAAATATCTTCACAGGTTTTGTCCCAGCTTTTGCAAAATGCAACTTAACTGCATCTTATCATATCTGTAAGGTCAAAAAGCTTATGCACAGTGAAGTAGATGGCTGGTTCAAAAAGGCACAAATTTTTAAGACATATTAACTCACAAGAGTGAACTGAATTTCCACCAGCTTCATTTCTATGTTATTTGTGTAAGTAAATTTGAATACAACTTTGTTGTACAAATACAGCATTATAGTAGCAGCTGCTTTGAAACAGTTCTGTTATGCTATGTAATTTGGTCCTGAAAAAAGATTTCAAGTTCAATGAATATATCTATCTTTGTGTTATACTCCAGTACGGGGGAAAAAATCAGGCACACAGAAAAATATACCAGTGCTGCAGCTTAAGGAACTGATTTGGACTATTGGGTTAAAATATGAAGTTGACTACATGTTTACGTTCTCTTTTAACAGGCAGTAGTAGAATTCGATAACCTCCCCTGCCTATAATTTCTTAGCAATTTATATACATCAGCCATTTTCCACTTGATAAAAAAACCCTCTCAGTAAAAAGCTGTAGGATCTGCTGGCAGAGAGAGTTGCACAGTGGTAGCAGTAACCTCGACTAGCTAACCTGTGCATATACAACATTCACCACAATACTCTCAAATTGGAACATCAACTTCCACAGGTTTAAATTACTTAGTTTTTCCAGCCACTGTAACAACCTTCCTCAAGGTTGACTTTCAGTGTCAAGGGGTTTTGGCCAGTTCTTATCCAAAATACTGACACAAGGATGGCACAAGTTGCTACCATCTCACCAGAAGGCAAACATAGAAAACTTTATCTAGGAGTTTACATCATAAGCAGATCCCTTTCTCACATCCAGAACTCCACCAACTTCTTGCAGATCATATGGTGAAATACAGCCTTCCAGCTAACTTGAGAGATATGATACATAATCTGCTGCTAAGTGAACACACAGCAAAGCTATTATAATAGTTATGAACTCCAAGTGAATAAGCAGCTGTAATTATATGTCAGTATTACAGAAGATCATATGAGCTTTTTCCCTGAAACTGGGAAAACAGCATAACTAACAAGAAACGAGTCAAAAGAGAGTGTGAACTGAAGGTGTTTCACAGGTGGATGATGTTCTCACCTCTGAAACAAGGTCACAGCATTCCACAAGGCTTATCAGGAATAGGCTGTGGCAAAAAAGATCTTTGAAGCAGAACCATCAAGTCCGCTATTATATCCCTCCTCAAAAATCAGCACAGAGTAATACAGAGAGACAACTAATTTTTCAAGTGTGTCTGTACTGCAGATCTAAAGGGAATGGCAAAAGACAGGTGAAAGCAAATTTGGTCTGACAGTGTTTACAGATGGGTCTGCTTTACTGTGGTTGGTCTCAAAACTGTTATAAGAAGAAATAATCAGTCTGATTATAGACATCAAAACTAGTTCTCTGACATAAGTGAAAATAACCTTAAATCACTTCACTGCACTCTGGAAATCTGCGTTGTTGCTTGGAAGATGGATGGGAGGAACCACGGTGCTTATTTATCCTCATTTTTACCTTCTCTCTACTGAGACAGTAGGGCTGCTCCTTTCCCTGCCCACATCCAGACCCGTTTTTTACTATCATGTCAAAGTTGCTGTAGTATGGGCTTGTTATCCATACTCTTCCCAATCTTTCATGCTGAAGATACACGAAAGAGCACACAAACGAGTGTGCTCGAGCATGTTCTCGAGTCCCTCTGTCCCAGTTTTAAACGACTCTGATAATGTTCTCTACTTCAAAGAAGTTCAGACATCTGCTCCACAGCATAGCTGTTTCATGTAATATTAAGATTTTTAGGCAATGCAATCACTTGACCAAAAGCTTTAGAAGGACAGGAAACACATTTTTCTTTTGGCAAACTTGAGAGGCATAAGAGAAAAAATGCTTGGGAATGAACACGAAAGCATGGAGATTAAGACTAGAACTTTACTCTGCAGTATATACTCCTCCATCACTAAATGTTCTCCAAATGCCACACACAAGCACTGAATTTATAGCATCTCTTTCAAATCCATATTCACTTCTATTGTGAATTTGTCTTCTGGATTTTAAGTCATGCCTGCATGGTATGCACTCAATGGCTGACTTTACTGACAACATTATTTCAAAAATCCTAGAATACAAAAAAGAATACCTTGAATGTATGATCCAAGCGTAATTTGGAAAGCAGCCTTTTCCTATTGTCATTCAGCATACCATCAATTTTTCTCATGTGAGGCAAAAGTAGCTCATCTGAAAGACACACACAAAAAAAAGTGTCAGCAGTTGATTGAGAAAATACAGTAATGAGATTCCTATTCAATCCATGCTGCGACCCATTAACATAAACCATGAATTATTTTATCAGCCTGTTAAAGTGTTCTAGATAGCATGCAGTTTAATTGCTGACTGCAATCCTCCTCTGACTTTGTTGAAAGGAAAAAAATAACACAGAGCAATATAGAGAACAAATCTCGAGACAATTTCAAACCATGTCCTAAATAATCCTCTTCTCTGTAATACAACTGGCAGTTCTATGAAGACAAGTATGTGGGTTTGACATTTGCTATTCCATACTATGAGTGATGACCCCGCTGGCATTTGTAACAAAAGAAATTGAGGAAAGCACTTACTGACAGAACCACTATAAATTGCATAATACACATTTGAACAAAGACACGTGGCCATGAATGAAAGTTTACAGTTCAGTATGGAGTTCTTAATTTATAAAGTCAATTTCTCTGCTTTTAGGGGGCCCACTGACATACGCATGAGTATGAAACCTTGAAGTAAGCGTGCACTGATGCGCAACCAGAGCTAACCTGGGAAGGAGACAACAGAAACTAGTTTTTTAAATACAGGCAAACAGAACAGGACAAAATAACAGCCTGCAGCTAAAGAATATGTGAACTGATTGCTCTATTTAGACCTTTATATGTGAGTATCTCACTAAATTTTGAGATATAAGAGTTTTGACTTGTATCCTGGAGTCCACTATAGTAAGTAAGCCCACAGTGAGTAAGTTCAAACATTTTCTCCTCAAAGAAAACGTGTAATACAATTGGTTTTGATCAGAACTTTAAGGTTTCACAGTTTGAAATGCAGAATTTTTAATAATAGCAACAATCAGAACTATTTATAGTTATAAGGATGTTTATAAGAAAGTAAATACACACTTGAAACAGTCATTTGAAATAAATGTTTGCTAAGATTTTAAAATACAGTAACAGCAGGAACAAAGAGCTCAGGTCTGACATCCACAGCTCAAGCCTTGTGCACCAAAGCAGGCAAAACAGTCTCTCCAAATTACTTAGATTATTCAAAGAGATAGGGCAAATATATATATATATATATATATATGCACACACAAGTCATTTGTGTAAAGTGTTCTTCAGATGTGGGTATGTAGCTAAAAGTCTGGTGGAGTTTTTTGTTTTATTATTTTTTAAATACATTTGCTTTGCTGATTAATAACCTTAAAACATAATTAAAGCATACAAATGTTAAACATACTGTACCATTGCTCTTTTCCAGGGCTTGCATTGTGTCTGGGTCCAAGGCAATGCTAACAAGCAACTCCATGTAGCTCTTAAAAGTCTCTTTCATAGCTCTTGTGTTCAAAAACCGAGTAACGAGGGGAGCTGGAGGTACAAGCTCTGAAAATTCATTGGAATATAATGACTATTTTCCTTTGATATCCTGCAAGTATTTGTATTTTTCAAAACTGAAGGTTTCTGTCTTAAAACACAAGTGACCCCTACTGGTATCCCAAGAGATTAAAACTCAATACAATCAGAAATAATATTCAACTAACTTCCATGCCAAAACCACATCTGGCATCATATAAAAACCAAATCTGGTACAAATGGTGCAATTTTTTGTAGAAACACATACAATTACTTATAACTATCAGCACTTAGACTCTAATATCTTAGGGAATTTTAACATTTTTCTATTACTGTAGACGAATGCCTAGAGAAAAGGGATAATGAGTAACTTCAGTCAGGCGAAGAGGACTAAGTGCAGGTTTCATGTCAATGCAAGTACCTCCTAAACCCACAAAATTTGAAGCAGTCCAACACAAAACCATTCAAAAGCACTCATATCACTTAGGAGCCTGCATACCATCGAAGTCAATCCCACCTAATTGTCCAGCTCACAAAAAACGCGTAAAACAAACTTTACCAGTGAAGCAACGAAGGTATAATTGTACTTATTCTGAGGAAACTTTTGGTTGTTGGGTTTTTTTTTCATAGACAGCAATTTTAAATATGCACATGGAGCAGTCCTCAGTACTACTGAGCATTCTGGAGCTTTTCTTAGTCTCCAAGATGTAATACCAGTGTTTTACAGGAATTTAGCTAGCAAGGCTGTTAAACTTTCTCAGCCAGCCACATTTCTATGAATGACTATCATCACATTACTGGAAATGTTAAATATGGACAGTTGCACATATTAATGGTTATTTGGGTAAGTTTGCTTGAAAAACAGTGTTTTAAAGGTGATGTCCTCAGCAGAGGCACTGTTCCAGTACACCAACCGAAGCTTGTCCTTAGCTGAATTCACCAAAGCCAACATGCTTTGCAAATGCAGCAATACAAAGCACGAGTACTACACAGCTTAACTTCTGTCTGGGGATAGGTGAGGAGGCAACAGA